TAAATATTATCTGAGATGCACTGATGAGGAGCATTGAAATTTCGTTGACAGTTCAACTGTTAATCAAATTTTCATTTCTAATTAATGACGTGTAGAGTAACATCGGAGAAAATCAATTCAATATTTATCATTTATCTCCTTTCAATAATTTTAATCCATCATTTTTTAAATGAATAAAAAAATACTCAGACTGAAAAATTTTTCCATCTTTTAAAAATATTTTCATTCCTCGCATAATAACAATTTCAACCCCTGGATGGCGCCAATTTTTTATAAACTCACGGATGATAAATTTCGATGTTGAAATAGATCACTGAAAGAATAACTATTCAATTGAATAATGTGATTTTAAAGGGAGACGGAGAAATCAATGATGCGGGTGGATAATAAACCGGTGTCGGTTTACATTTGAATCGCGTTATTAATTCGCACATCGATAAATAAACGGGGGATTATTTGGACCCTGTTATTCAGTCTCGTTAATGTGGGGAAAATATAATGAATCACCGGGTGGTTGGGTTTATTGAGGTGAATGATGTTGAAAATTTTCCAACGACTCACGACTCACGGATGTTCGATTTTAAGAGAGCCTTTAGTTATTCTCTTCGGGGTGTAACCCTGGGGAGGAAAGAGCTCCCGCTCGTTTTGCCTCGTAAAAGTCGTTAACGTACAGAACGTACAGCTCTGCTAGGATCCAAACCCTCTGCCCAGTCCAGAAGAGAATCGCTGATAATTTCCTATTTTATCGCTACATCGGGACAAACCCGATCCACCCCTCAGGTCAGGGTATGGCCATCGAATCCTAATTCCCCTTTACCTTCAATGTTCAAAACTTTTGCGTTACACGAACCTTACGTGGGTATTATGGCTTCTGTCTGTCGAGTTTTGGATTTCTTTTTGGGGATGTTGCAGGGTAAAAAGTCAAAGTTTCTATTATTAACAAAAAAAATATATATATATTTTTATATATATATATACTATTTCTGATTCTGGAAAAGATAAATTTTATGGAATTTTCAGCGAAACGCAAAATTTTATGTGTTTTCTTCCCTAAATCAAATTCATAACTCTCTCGTGAAAATGACTAGTTAGTACTGCCGGAAATATAAATAGTTTCCTACACGAAGAGAAAATTTCCGAGAGATATTCTAGCACAGCACTAAAAAAGGGGCGCAAATTGACAGTCAGGAAAAAATTACAGTACCAAAGTATAATATTAGAATAGATTATTTTTTCCTACAATTCATTTCAACAATTCCATTCCACGCATCCGTGAATGAAATTTTGTTTTGTATTGTGTTTGCTCTAATGACTCTTCAGTCTTTTGTAGTTATGTTATAATAATAATATCAGCAATGTAAAATGAAATAATTGCAGAAATAATTATTTAATAACATTAGTTTTCAACTCAGGATTTCTCTTCATATCCTGAATTAAATTCCGTTATAGAGAGCAATGTTTGCAAATTAAATTATTATATTTTATTTGGAAGCGAACAACCGCCACAATTAATTAGTGAATGCGAAAAAACATTGAATCGCGTACCACTGACCCCTTCATTTTGCACTCGGACAATCCCCTTCTTCACTGTTAGAAATTCCTCGAAATTTCAGTCACCATGTCATCTGAATTTCAAATTACATGAGTTTGAACTGAATTTCAAATGAAAACATTCACTAAACTTTCATTCATCAGTTATTACCGGAATTTTTACCATATTATTTTTATTATAATAATTTCCGTGAATATTGAGAAAATTCTGGGATTCGTCGAATAGGTCGTCAGAATTCTCCAGAAATTTCTCACCCTTGGCGTTGTTCAAATTTCCGATATATTTCATTTCAAAGTTTAATTTTCTAGCTGTCTGTATTCGATTTACTATTATTCGGTGAAGAATCGGTCAGTTCTCCTCGGTAATTCACTCCCCCTCGGCTGCCATTCCGAATTCGGGATTTAATGTTTTGTTTAGTAATTTGTCGAGAGGGAATGAACTTTCGGGTGTCAATGAATCGGGCTTTATAATGGAAGCCGAGAGATTTCCGAGAGTTGGCTCGTAAATTTTCGTCGTCCTCCGATAAAGTGTTAATGGGGGTGAAAGGTCAGGGGAAATGCCTACGGGCTATCGCATTTATTGATGAGTGAGTGCACATACTCAAGAAGTAAATCTATAGATATTGCAGAAGTCTAGGGAGAAAAATGTACAGCAAAATTTACCTTGACGTAGTGTTTCGTTTGAGTTTAAGCTTTAGTTATGGCATAATGTGGTATTGGTTCTCTATGAATTTTTTTTTTATTTGCATTGGCCATATCCTCATACTTGGAAGACACATGTCCTCAAGATTTTTCGAGTTCACCAGGAATTACCATTTTTATGGGGAATTTTATTCTAAAATACTGTCATTTTTATTAGACACCTTGTGGTCTTACGTCAGCGTAAATTTTGATATCAATTTTTCTGCACTCAACTCGAAACTTCGATAAAATTCAGGATTTTTTTCTGGTGAGCAATTGTTAATATTTCAGAAATATTTTGAACACCTTTCGAATCCCATTCCCAAGATTGAGCAGTATATGCGACTGCAGTAGCTTAAAAATTCATGGAAATAATGACTGATATTTCACGATTTTCATTGTCCAGTGAAAATCCAATGAATACCGGAATTACAATCCATTACAATGTAATGATACTCACTCAAATTTACCTTCCACTGATTTTCATGGAATAATTCAACCGAATTTACAGTTTTCCTCTATTCCTCCGCGAACGCGATCACAATTTCAAAAATTACCTAAAATTTAAACCGAGCTGTCGTATTTCATAATAAAAATCTGTGAAATCCAGTCTAAATTTTCCAACATATGTGTGACACAATGTTAACAATTTCCATTCCAATTTTCCGGACGAATTCCAAAAATACGCGGAAATTTCAATGAAAATTTCATTCGCTCCGTTAATTTGCACCCGGTTTCCAATTAAATTAATAACTCGGGATAAAATAGCCCATCAAAGAATTCAAATTCTCGAGGGCTGAATAGATGAATCGAGTCTGCATCGACGCTAAATTGATGTAGGCGGTTAATACATATGTGCACATAATACATTAACCCGCATCTGCTGCAATATATACCGTCGACGGGGGGTCAGGGGGGGAAAATTTATACTTGTGCAGTTCTATTGGTTGAGCTGAACGTGACAGGACTCCGATGATTTTTTTTCCTTCATTCTCACCACAACAAAAGAGTGTAACCGATGACGCACATCAAAACTATAACCATTGAAAGGAGACCAAGATGATAAATAATACATACGCGTCAGGTCCAGTGCCTGGTATTCTCGGTATATTCATAACAATAATTAAAATCTATGCGTTATTGCGTCGCACGACGGATTTGGTCACCGTATTTTTATCCACTAGTCGTCTGTTTATAATTTTTGATTCTAGGGAACTTTAATCTACCGAGGAATTTTTTATTTACATTCCAATGGATGAGTTCGACCGGTTATCTTTATCGCGGCCCCTCCACACGGCTGTTTTCATTCTCTCGGGTTATTCAGGGGAGGGGATCTTCTTGAATGGACGAAGATTTGTTATCGTTTTTTTTTGTGAAATTGTACAATTACTAGTGTGTTATCTGCGATTAATGGCAAATCGGGGGTTCGCGCTGGAAAATTGAAGAGAGATGCAAATTTGGAATTTTCTCTCTAAATGGTATGAGAGATATTTTTTAAAAATAATACTTAGTATTGGTGTATATTTATTTGTGAGAAACTGACCGACAGGAGATCTACTTGTAATTTACCTAAAAAAATGAATTGACATAGAAATACGGAAGAACTTTTTTCTAGCTAATTAAATTCCAGAAAACAAACATCTCTCGACATATCCCTCTAAAATCAATACTTTCAACATCAGTGGACATTAACCAACACATTGAAATTCGATTTCTCACTTGATCATTTCCCTTGAATTTTTTTTTCGAGTGTCCACCCGAAAAAAGTCCAAATATTTAAAAAATCTGAAAGCGACCGGAGTGCGGCAAGTAAATCCCCTGCTGTCGGGTAACGGTGAATCACCAATTCCCCAGTTATCCCAATGACAATGAAGGAAGCCAATTTTTTTTCCACACTGACATTTAACGCAATTGGAGAGGGTTCAAAATAAAGCAGTGCCATGTGGAGTTGCTGTTAAACTCATCTGACCCCCTGGGGTTGTCTTATGTTCCCAACAGCAGCAGTTGTGACTGACTGTGGCAAATTTTCAACCTTCCCTTCACGCAAACTATACCCAATTTTCTTATTAGCCCTAAGGTTCATTCCCATCTTCCTCCCTCCTTAGTGACCACCATCAGTCCCACAATCTCTCTTTTCTCTCCATCACCATTCTCCACTCTCCAACTCCTGTTCTCCTCTGTGTATACAAGACCTTCGACTATTTTTACAATTGACGAGCCGACAGAAACTTGCATTCCACCGTTTATAACGCTACGGTGCACCGTTGCACTTTTATGTACAAAACCCGAGACTACACCATACACACTCATTTATTTTTTACTCCGTGTCCGTGTTTAAGAATGAGGGGAAGGGAGAAGTCAGTGAAGAGAGAGGGATCATTTGTCATTTTCGTAGCGCACGAGGGAGAAAATATCGGAGGGTTAAAGTAAGATTACACTCGTGGGACTAGTACAGCATCTGGAACTCCCGTTGGAGTCTGATGGATTTTAAGATTCCCTGTCGCTTTAAAGTTAAAATGTCACCGAAATATACTCCCATTGAGAGTAGAGGGGAAATTGTCGAGAGGACATTGGGAGGACGATGAGTACACTCACAAAACGGGACTTTTTAGTTGGAGGTGTGGGAGATGATGTTTTTCATTTTATCTCCTCGGAGTGAGTGAAAAATCGGGACTCGGAGGAAAATTTCAGGGGATGCGATTGGAATTTTGTCGAGTGTCATGCGTTTTGTTTGGATATTTTTGAAAAATAATTGGAAAAACACTCACCTCTGTTCCAGCGGCATTGCACCCAACGAAGATGACGGCCGCGCAGGCAAGAATCCAGTATATCCTTGGCTGCATCCTTGATTACTCTGATGTTTTAAAAAAAATCCCTTTTGTCCTCACCGGTTGGGGGCTCACACTGGAGCCCTTTCCTGTCACTGATTGTTTAACTTGGGATTTGAGTATAAAACGAGACGCGAGTTGGGGTTTTGGATTATTTTTATATGTTGTGAATACCGAACGTGGATGCGTCGGATATTAACAAAATTTTTAACACTGAAAAAAAAACCCCTTCCCGGAGCAACAACGCGGAGACACACACCACACTGATCGATGATTCGTGAGACACTGGGGGCGCAATCGTCGACCCCATCCCCCCCGAAAAATATCATACCCGGCGCCATTTTGAGAGTCACCTCGCCATCTCTTGGGGGCGGGAACAAATTTTTTATTCAAACAAGTCAAGTCAAGGATTGTCTCGTTTATAAAAAAATTTTGAAAATTGTAATTGAAAAGAGGGAGCGGGAAATTAGTCAGGGGTTTGTGATATTAGAATATTTTTCGCTTGCTTCAGAAATTGGATTTTTTTTTATTGATTCAATGATAATGATTTATGTAATTTATTCAGGTTTTCTTCTCTTTGGACGCGACTCCCTTTTCCAAATTTTCTAAGAACCTCAACGTTTCGTCGATGTCGCGATTGTATTCTTTGATCTGTCGCTGCATTGATCGGACTTTATTCTGCATTTTTTGAAGTTCCTCTTGAGTTTTTCTCTTTAAAAGCTCCCGGAGTTCCTTGTTCTGGTGGAAAATGGGTGTAGATGAAGGAGGATAATAAAATAATGGGTTTTGAAGACTCACTTGCTTGTAATAGTAATCACTCTCAAAGGCGATGCGTTTAGCACTGAATTTCTTCAGATTCGCTCCATTACTCTCTTGGCTCAGACACCTAAAACTGGGGATCAATGACATTTGAGATGTTAACCTGTCAATCGATGGTGTTTAAATCATCTGGCTCACCTATTTCTGTATACTGAGAAATTTACGAGCTTTCGATTCGACATGACTCAGTTTAAAATCCAATTTTCCTTGAATCTTTCCATTTATGGCAATTTTTATTTTTTATTTGCAACAGCATTTAAAATTTTGATGTGTCGGTGAAACAAAAACAAGTGGAATATCAGAGTTGAAAAATTACTGAAGACAATTTTTTTCTTCAAAAGAGTAGAGTGGGATGAATTGAATTTCGGTGTTGATATTTATATTGCGGATAATTTCAATACGCATTGACCTCAGAATAAAATATCTGCAGACCTTTCTTGTCGAAAATTCCATCAGTTACAAAACACTTCTTCAATGTCTTTATCTTAAACCGATAGTCCTCGAGATAAACAATTAATTAAGAAATATTATTTGCATTACGAAATATTTAATTCCAATCAATTTGTCATAATCAAATAAACAGTATCTTTGAAAATCAAAAATTTATTCCTACATACTGTAACAACATATTTGTATGAAAAAAAAAAAGAAAAAATAGCCACAATCTGGTGCTGGAGTCGCACACTATTGTTGAAAGATGTCGTATCTCTAAAAATGGAAACACTCCTGGTACAGTCCGCTGAGAGATGACCTGAGGGTTTAATCCCTTCACTTGTGCTCCATGTCCCCGATTCTCTTCTTGTGACGGTTGATGGCCTCCTGGTGACGTTTGATCTGCTCCTCGTGGAAGGAAATCTCATCGTGGAGTCCATCCCTCAGCTTCTGCAGCTGTTCCTTTTGCTGAAATCATTAACAAGTCGTTCAAAATTAAATTCAACTTGATTTAGAAGAATTATCTCACTCCAGAATGAAGAAACATTATTTTCAGGGGGTCATCTGATTTTCATAAATCCTGTGATAGAATTCCATGAATTAAATTCATCAGAATTTTTTTTTAATTTCCTCATGTTGATGGGGACAATCACCTGATTGTAGAAGTACTGGTCCTCATGTGCAGCTTCCATTTTTCCAAAAGATCCTCCAGCACTGCGAATGGCACCACCACCACCACCACCCCTACCAGCCCCAGATCCGGCTTCCCCAGACATCCTAGCTTGACTGACAAAAAAAGACAAACGATGAAACAAAATTACCCCCAAGTCCACGAATATTTCGCATTATTTCCGAATTCTGGGCGTTCAAAGACTACAGGGCATTACATAAGAACCAGAAATATCTATTCACTACCCCAAAGCCTGAAAAACCATGAATCCGTTGGCGTTAATAAAATAGAACTGCGTCGTGATAGAAAAAATCTGTCAATAGCTCCCCAGTTTTTCTAATTGGCCAGCAAAGAAAATCCTAGCGTGATCTGATTGTTAATCGATGGAGGAACTTCTGCCGGGCCAGTGCCGGGTTTGACCAATTCAAAATGAGGAAAAAGTTATTGAAATTTGGGATTACCGAGGAGATTACAAGAGTCTGTACCTCAAGGATGCCATTCTCCTGGAGAAAATGAAAGTCGCACGTTGCATTTTTCCCAATTTGCGTCGCGAATCGTCAGGAAAAAAACTCAATGGGCTTCAACTACTTTCTGGCACAAAGGTTATAGTATTCTGGGTAAAATCCAGATGTGTCCACCTCTGCCAGCTGGTGAGCATAGCCGACAGAGGCGGTGGCTACGACGATAATTTACGCCGCGAAATTTAAATTGCTCTGGAGATAAAAAATCCTGGACGAAAGTAATGAATTTGAATTTACTTGAATTTACATTCACTTTTCAAATTTCCTGGAGATTTAAAATTTAATTTGCAATTCTACAATAAAATTAGCAAAGAATATTCATTTATTCTCTCGTGCGTTAAAAAAATTCTCACGTTTCCTTTTCCTCTGTTAAATAAAATCCGATAATCTCTAACAAAAATCAACTCACCTGAAGTACTCAATAGCTTGACTTTCAGCCAGTTGTTTTTTTATTTCGGAAGTCCTGAGCTCACAGACAGCCGCTTGTTTTTGCAGTTCTGCCCTCTCGAGCTCGACCTCCAGGATCTTGAACTTCATGTTGCGCTCTTCCTCGGAAGAGTCGAAGAAAACGCTCCTCTTGGACTCGTTCAAATAATCAGGAACCAATGTCGGGGTGTCTTCTTCCTCATCCCCAGAGCAGTCCATGGTGAGTCGCATTTTTTTTTGATGCGCAAGATTCATGGGCTCCTCATCTGAAAGTCTTATTCCCCTGCTCTTCTCCGGGGCTGGAGAACTCTGCAGGAATCCATCCTCGTCATTGAATTCGGATAGGCATTCCTGTTTCATCGACTCAAAGGAAATTTCCAGGGGATTCGAACTCAGATTATCCAGAATCTCCTGGAGATTCGAGAGAGGATCCGCATCCTGACTGTCGTCTGAGGTCGATTCGCTCTCGTTTTTCTTGAGGATTTGCAACAAACGCCAGACGTCGACGGATAAATCTGACGGACGGGTCTTTGATGCCTCCTCGAGCCCAACTGTTCTCACCTGATTCAAGAGGATGGAACGGGATCACAAGTGCAAAGGGGAGATCAAAAATATTTTACGACTCTTACATTTTACCACAGAATTCTGGAATATTATCTCATTTTATCTCATTTTATTTCCTTGATTAATTTCTTTGGGGCCTTAGCCAATTATTTGAGTGATTCAATAAATTACTGTTATTATATTTCAAGTTACAATTTATCATCACCTCCTGGGGACTGAGAAATGTTGAATAAGCGGAAAGATTTACCAGATTTTTACCTTCTCGGCGAAGACGTTGATGTCGACTCTGGCTTGTGCCTTCATTCTCCTCCACTGCTCTCTCATTCTCGTGATATCGCGTTCGGTCGAAAATTTTCCTTTGAAATCGCAATAAATCTGTCGCCAGGCAAGACTCTTGAGTGCAGTAGCTGATGTGTCGATTTTTTTATTCTCAATTGCGTTAATGTGAGCTTTTATCAGTGTGAAAAGCGCGCGTTTCTCTTCGGGGACCCAATTTTGAGTTCTCTCGCGCTTTTTTCCGGCCACCGGAGTCGATGTTTGAATATTCAACATTACCACGAGTGATAAATACTCAATCCCGATCAATACTCTCTTTTATTGGTTAAATAGCTCCAATTGATTTAACCCAGCCACTTGCAATTGTTATTCACCTGAAAATTGCGCAATTCGAAATAAAATCCGAATTGGAAATTGGAATTCTATAAAAAATCGTTAGAAACCGATTTTTATTTTTAATTCATTTCCATTTAAATATTCCCTGTAGAATATCTCGTCTCAAATTTCCCGAGTTTTTCTCAGTTCATTTTTCCGTATCGAAAACCAGAAACAAAAAAAATTTGAAAAAATTGGATGTCAAATTTATTTTGCAAAGTACAGAATAAATTCTACAGAATTTTATCTAATAAAATTCCTGTAATTTCAAAATCCTGTATGAATTTAAAATCCAAAATTTTTTTTGATTCATGATTTATCAACAGACTAGATTTTTGAATGTGACATCGTCGCTATAACCGAGTGAAATGAGGTTAGAAGTTTCGTATATAGTGTCTACTAATGGCAAAATCCTCATTAATCTAAAGAAAATAAATCGGTTAAATAATTTGAATGATTTAAAATAATTGAATTACAATCTGAGTTGTCGCCGATTGATGCTGAGTGCGAAAAAATAATGTTAAATTTTCAGCGAGGATTGTTGGGGGAAAATAAATATCTCTCCGAGCCCGATTAAAGTCCGACTAAGCGCACGCCATTTTATAAGTCCAACTAGTCGCTCGATATCTAGCAAATCCCGTGATTCCCCACGGGGATGGGTAAGGGTGCATAGATGGAACAGTCGCTTGCGCAACGCAAAACGTCCTTTCGTTTCATTTCGCCGCACTTCGTGAAATCATATTGCGCCGATTCCGATATTCCCAGGTTTTTCATTTACCCGACTATTCTCTCCTGCGTGAATTTTCTAGGTGAATGATGAATACCATTTCCCCGGTTGCTCGCCATTTTTATCAATTCTTTCGTGGAATTAGCTATTACAAAGTTGAGAATCTGTCAATTTTTTTTCAGGGGTAATTCTCCGGATTCTTTATTGTTTAAAATCTTAGGGATGATCCGGAAGTGATGAAGCGGAAATGGAAGTTAATTAGAAATTCTCTTTCTAAAGTCATATCATTTTTTTATTTTTTTATTTATAAAAATTGATGGATTGGATGAATTTTATTAATGGATGAAAATAGTTTCTCATTTTCATTCACATTCAATCATTAAAATTACTTCAATTCAGGTTTTTTATTTATTTCATCATTATTCCCCTTCTCTTTTCCATCCAATTTTTCGATGTTTCAAAAATTAAAAATAATTTCACCACAAAAAAAATTCGCACAGTTCGAATGGAACTGTAAATGGATATTTCAGCGAATGTTTTAGTTGACTTAATTGTTAATTATTCTTTTTATTGTGTATGAAAATGGAGAATTTATAGCCATACGAAGTGTTTGTAACAATATTTCCCGGACTTGTTTAATTTATTTTTCATGTCCCCGCACTTGCAATTGGATCCACCATCGAAGTCTCATCCTGAGAGCATACTTTCCCCCCGTTAAGCCAACTATGAGTGTCTCCTACACGGAGTGCAAAACCTGCTTTCAGTTACCCCAACGTAATCGTATCGCTCGGAGTTGGTGGTCTTCTGAAATCCCGTGCATGTGACACTGGAAATTTCCACCATTCCCTTGCAATTTTTATTTTATCGTGATATTATTGAGTCATCTCCAGGGCATCCTCGCACCCCAGGTAGATATCGTTCTCCGAATCTAAACCAGATTCCTCCACGTCCTGAACATTAATGATTTAATAATTATTCACGGGTGTTTTTCGTGAAATCGGCAATTTTAAATTTTCATTTGTCTCATTCCCCGGGTGATGTCCTCTCGTGAACTATTTTATTCAATAGATTATTCCACCAGTGGAATATAATCCTATCCCCTGCTTGATTTTTTTTCGTAATGCATGAGTGAGTGGAGGTGAAGCCATGTTGTTCTTCGGCACTGTCAAGGTAATTATTTCCCAATTATATATATTTATATATATATTATATATATATATTTCCATAAATAAGTAAACGTTATTCAATTAAAATTTCAATCTGTCATCCATTTTATAATCCACTCAATCCTACATAATATTGAATTTTTTATTTCAACCGAGAAAAATTGTCGGGAATTCCTCTGGAGTTTTCGAATTTTCGAAAAGAACTCTGTGGTCCACAAGTGGAAAAAGAATTCTGGAAAAAGAAAAATGAAATCATAACGAGCGCATGCAGAATAGGAATAATTAATTAACCGAGCGAGAGCCATAAATCTCGGAGCAATCAGAGAAATAAAATACAGCTTTACATAATCCTCCCTAGACATGCCACAAAACACTCAACGGAGACAGTCGTAACGAAATGCACAAAGACATTCGCATTATTGTGGTTTCCTCTTCACCGAGTTGTAGTCGTTTCCAGACGTCCAATTCCATCGATTGGGACTAATAGATTGCAATTGTTGAAGATGAAGTCCCAACGGAGGAGTTTCACCGAGACTGCACTCTGTTCGCCGAGGAGTCTCACCCTGACTTGGAGAAATATTTCGTATACGGTTAAAAGGAGGAGAAATGGGGGATATATTATGGATCTAGTTAGAGGAAGGCGTATGGAGGACATCCAGCTGCTGCATGGAGTCAGTGGAGTCGTGAAATCGGGTACTCTGATGGCGATATTAGGACCGAGGTACTTTTTTATGCTGTAATAAAGATAGAGCCCTTCAGGAAGTACCTATTTCTCCGCATTCCCGGAAATAGCTACTTCCTCAAGGATAAATTCACGGAGTAGAGAGGTTTTTTTTTGGAATTAACGAGGGGTTTTAGTTTTGAGAGTGAGTTGTAAGGTTTATGAGTGTTTATCCATGGAGAAAAGATTTCTTATTATCAGGAGAAACGGGGAGAAAAATGTGGACTTGAATCGAGGGAAAAAACGATTCGGCGATCGATCCCCGAAATACTGGATTGATCATTTATTTTCAGTGTAAATTCTCTCTGATATTGTCTTTTATTTAATTTTCATATCTTTGCGATGAGAAAATCAGGCAAAAACCAGAAAATTGGGATGAAATTTGAGGGATTGTTTAGAAAACTTGTGAATTTTTTGAGGGGCCATTGACAATGTCGAATATTCGCTGGGAAAATTGCAGTGGAGCAGGAAAAACCAGTCTGTTGGCAACCATCAGTCGACGGCTGAAAGGAGAGGCCACAGGCGATGTCTTGCTGAATGGGAAACCAGTGGATGCGCACCTGATGTCTCGAATATCGGGTTTTGTTCCCCAGGAGGATTTGTCCGTCGAGACCCTCACCGTCCAAGAACACATGGAGTTCATGGTACTTTTCCCCAACCCCTCCTGCCTATCGGGAAATGAATAAAAATTTTGATACGAGTTCTAGAAATTCTGAAATAAATGATTCCGTGTAAAATGGGGCATTGCAGGCCCGAATGAGGATGGACCGTCGATTTCGCACGGCCGCGCGTGACCAGAGGATCGAGAATCTCCTGTGCGACCTGGGCCTCACCGAGTCTCGACTCTCAAAACTCGTAAACCTCTCCGGAGGCGAGCGAAAACGCGTTTCCTTGGCGGTTCAACTGCTGACGGAGCCGAGCATATTGTTCTGCGACGAGCCAACGACCGGGCTCGACAGTTACTCTGCCCTGGTGGTGGTGAGAACCCTCCGGGATGTTGCGGCCCGAGGAAGGGTTGTTGTTTGTTCACTGCATCAACCTGCCTCGGGTCTCCTCGAATTATTCCACGAGGTCATCCTCTTGGCCTCGGGCAAAGTTGCCTTCCAGGGCAACACCGCAGACGCCACATCATTCTTCGCAAGGTAAATCAATCGATCCCTCAAACTTTAATGAAATATTCCTCACCGCGGACGACTATTCTCCTCTCCCGCGATTGCACTTCACTTCTGTAATTAAAATAATGTTTTGCCCATCCCCATGGACGCAGCCTTGGTCTCCACTGTCCTCCAACTTTCAACAACGCCGAGTTCTTCGTCTCCCAGTTATCGTTGACTCTTGGTAGTGAAAATGAATGCACGAAGAAGGTTAATTGGATCTGCGAGGAATTCGCGGGCTCGTCCTACGGTGGTAAAATAAAAAAAACCATCGAGAGGTCCTGCAACGGCACCATCGAGGAACGTGCACCCCATCCGATTTTTGCTGAGGGTATTCTTCCAGCGAGTGACTTCAAAAAAATCCACCCCCTCACTCAACTCGAGTGGCTGACCTGGAGGAGTTATCTTGACTACAGAAGAAACTGGAGTGTCATTCTCCTCAGGTTCTTCCTGTACATGTCCATCGGTGTCCTCCTGGCGACGCCTTACATCCACGTTACCGAGAACATCGACCAGAATGGAATCCAAAATATGCAGGGGCTCATGTACCTCGTTGTTACCGAGACTGTGTTTACGTTCAATTATGCTGTGTTCTATACATTTCCCAAGGAACTTCCTCTCCTGCTGAGGGATATGGCCAGCGGGCTCTATTACCCAGCTCCCTATTATCTCAGCAAAATAGCTGTTCTGGTGGGATTACTTTTATGTCACAGGAAAAAAGAAATCCTTCCTCTAAAGGAACTATCACTTGTTTCCAAGAGATCGTGGAATTTTAGTCTGCATTCAAAGAAAAAATTACTTTTACTAAATTTAAAAACACTGAAGAAGATTTATTTTTCAATTTCATTCCTTTTTCAATTCTACTAAACATCAAATCTTTTGACAGATCATTTTGCTTGTATTTCTGCTTTTGTATTTCGAGTCGCCTATTTTTTTTATTTTTTATTATAAAGATATTTATTAATAATTGAGTGAATTTGAGAATTCCCTCCAGATTTTTTTAGAAATACGTGAATTTTTCGTGGAAACAAGGATTTTTTTCTTAGTGTTCTCTTCTTTTGGAAACGGATATTCAATTAATTTTCCAGATACCTGGTTCTATCGTTCAGCCATTTCTGTATGCAGCCCTGATTTACAGCATTGCTGGGCTAAAAGGTGGTCTAACTGGTTTCATTTCTTTTGCACTACCTGTCATACTCTGCGCCACATCCGCATCAGCTGTCGGTCAGTAATTGACAAGTCATCGGAGTTTATCAATTGTTGTCGAAAAGTTTTAATTGCTCTTGATAACAGGTTGCCTCATGTCCGCCTCCTTCAAATCAATCGATACTGCTTCGCTGCTGTCCGTACCCATTGATTTTCTCACGTTAATTTTCAGTGGAATCTATCTTCATCTCGAGTGAGTTTCAGAGATATTTGACGAGTTGGGAGACGAGTTTTAATGTTTTCTCGTGATTACAGAAACTTGCCACCGAGGATCTCCTGGCTCAAGTACATCTCTCAGTTTTATTATAGCGCCGAGGCCGTTTCGTTGACGCAGTGGAAGGAATATGATCACATAAGTTCGTATTAACGAGATTAAGAGATGGAAACTTATGAAGAAATTCACCAGAAAGCCTTATGCTTTCCCAAGAAAATCTATTAATTTTCTATTGAAACTCCAAAAGAATTGATGACGCCATTTTCATCAGTTCCTTTTTTTACATTTACATTTTCCGAAGATTAAATATAAAACCAGACGGAAAAAATGAAAAAACCAATCAAATTTAAAATGAAATTAGAATTCCATTGAAAGTTTTATAGAATTTCATACCGAAAGTATGAACTTTAAAAATTAATGTTTTTTATTTGAGTTGAAAATTTTAATGGATGTTAAATAATTTACTCGTGTTTTTCTCAAATTTTCTGAAGATTGTCCACCGGATCCCGAGGAGCCCTGCATATCCTCGGGGACAGGAGTCCTCGAGAAATACGGGTATGTACCAGGTAATTACTCCATGGACCTCGTGGGCCTCGTTGCTATATTCGCATTAGGACATCTCGCTGGATTTCTAGCTATTCGATATCGAAGCACGAAGGAGCCCGTTTATTAATGAAGAAAATATTCCCAAAGGATCGAGGAAGTTACTAATGTGTTCTTAGAGAATTTACAACTTCAACTTTCATTACGAACAAATTGAAATAATTAATTTGAAATACCTGTGGAATTATTTCCTTTATTATTGCAATGTTATTTATTTTCACTGCCTTAATTGCGCCATTCCTCGAAATTTAATTATCTTATGTTATTTTATTCTATAATTTGTTCGTTGTTGCATGCATATGTTTATTTCTGGAAATTAAATTAATAAATTGAATGACGTGTTTTATATTATTTATACCGTTGATATAATTGCTCGAATTTTCCACTCGTTAATGATCGATTAAAAATGTATTTGCACCTTCAGTAGAAAAATCTGATTGAAAATCCCTCAGTACAACGATTTAATTGTTCTCCTTCTCATTACCCCCAAGAACCCCATGAAAAGGGTGGCCCCTGTCAGGATAAATAAACCCCCTACAGTGAAGCCCAAATCCCCCTGGCTGTACCCATATTCAGCTAGAACCTCTGACCCAGTTTTAGAACAGGGCAAATGTTCAACATCGCACTGGATCCTTTTTATCCTGGACCAGTGAATGACTGCCATCAGCTCGTGGGAATAATGAAATATAGATAAATACTTGAGCCAACTAGCGATTCCTGATGAATTTCTCAGATTATAGAACACTCCAGCCATGAGTAGAGCAAGTAGATCGATGGGTGCCATAATGGAACTGGCAACATTGACATCCGCAAAATGGCAGGACATCATTATCCCGTAAGCTGATGCGCAAACACCGCAGGCGGTCGTTGCAGCTAAATACTCCAGGAACATGGATATCGTCATCACCTTGTATTTGAAAATAACGAGAATTGAAATCGTTAGGAATAATGACTTCAGCAACACCTTGGGCATCTGAAAAAAATTAATACGTCACAATTTTATTGTTTTAAAAAATATTGGAACATATCGGGATATTTTGGAAACTTCAAGCAATGATGGAAATGTTTGAATAAAAATAATGGGTGAGATGGACACTTTAATTTTCATTTAAATTCTAAAAATTCTCCCGAGTTCTTTCGATTTGGGGATATTCATGGAAAAATTCTCCAATCGCTTTCAGCAAATAGAGTGGTAAATGGGGATGACTAAATGAATTCCATGATCTCTCTTAAATTCAAAGATATTCTTGCTAAAGTGAGCCTGCCCTCAAATTCACTTATCCCCCTTCATCACTTCGTTACTGAGTCGAATATTTTCGTCTTGCGAAATTACGAATTGAGGAAAATATATCTATTTTACCCCATGTGCCCGTATCACCCTCCCCAATTATTTCTTATGAATAATCGAGAAATAATCGGAATTAAACTTTCAGTCTCCATTGATAATCACGATTTTTCAAAATTTTAAAGATGAATGAAAATTTGCAACAGCTCTTCCTGAAGAGGAGGAAAAATTCATTCGTTGTTTAGCGGTTTTGCTCACCCAACTAAACAGCATGGCCAGGTAATAGGCAGATGGGCTATAGAATTTCCTCTCTCTGAGGTAAATTGGAATCTCCGACTGCACCTCATACAATACGGTGTACGTGGATGAATACACGAGCTCTGTACCCGTCATATAGAGCATACCCATCGCATCCTTCACGCCGGATTGCCTCTCAGTGTCAATTCCAATGTAAAAAACACCAACCAGCACAATAGAGACCTGGTAATGGTTAGATGTAAAAATAATCCAATTAAAATTTATTCCAAAACGATAAGAGCGCACTAACAGCGTAATAGAGGAATGCAACTGATCCGTTGATTATTGTTCTTCTGTTCTCAAGGTAATATCTCCATGTCAGCCAATGGAACTGGACGAACCAATTTGATGATTTTCTGAAAATAATACTCCCATTGTTCCATTTAATTATCCGGGAGACAATAAACGCACAGAGAAATTCCATAGAAAAATTGAAAGTCGGTTCGTAATATTCTAGAGAAAGAGATAACAGATTTTTCTCATCTTTTAAAATGGAATTTGGCGGTGTTTGATTATTTGAAGTGAAAGTTGAATTATCGCACTTTATCACTTCGTCGATTGTTTAATTAAAAGAATTCTGAAGAAACTCCTCGCGTTGGATTTTTTAATTTATTTTTCATCCACTTTTCAATCAGAGGAGGAAAGAATGCAGTGAGAAAATCCGTAGAATTTGCGTTGAAAAATTTCTGAAGAAAATATTTCAATAGAATTTTTCCCGATTGCGCGTTTTTCTATGAATTTCCCTCGTGCACGTACGATTTCAACGGCATTGAACAAATTCCATTGAATTTGTCATGCATGTCATCTTCTCAAATGCTCACTGGATATTTTCGATCTGAAATCCCAGCGGTCCTTCTTCAATTTTCCAAGAAAAATCAGAGGAAGTTGAACGGCTGTAAGCATCACAAATTTTCTCAGCGTTATTCCTATGGAGATCAGTCCCCAGATCCTCTGAATGCCGAGCCGATAAGATCCTGATGTAATACTCGGCCTCGTCGAAGCCATGTGGACAGTTATACCCTTCACTTCATCAATAAAATAAGATCAGTATTCAATTCGGTTTAAAAAACGTGAAACTCGATTGAGTTGATAGCCAACTTTTCGCGAAATATCTCCGAATCTAACAAAGATAGCGAAATCTACGTAAATCCATTTTTATAGCTCTCATTCCACCCTATAAAAAAGGTCCTATCGAGCAGTTCGCTATTTCTCTCGAGTTTAATGATATTCCATCGAAATTCAGAATTTTTCGAAAAAATATTCAAATCCAAAAAATACTCATACTTTTGCAAGAACATTTTTTGTAGCTCTTAATTAGCTCTGTAACAAAATTTCCGATGAAAATCTGACTCTGTTTCCTCTCCCTCTGTTTTCGAGATATTAAAAATTTTTTTTTGTATAATTGGTATATGAAATACACCTGCCTCTGGAAAAAGGTTTTTGCTGCATCGAGGCTTCCAGAAAATGCTGTCCTACCCTCAGTCAAAAATATAACGTGAGTGAATAGGTCATAGAGAGTGATTGCTGGCTGATGGATAGAGCACAGGACGATGCTATGATGTGCAGCAACTTTAATCGATTGAATGACTCGAAATGCCGAGGACGAGTCCAATCCTGAAGGCATCTGAATTATTGTTTCGTCCTGTGAATTATTTAGGAGGGACTCACCGGTCGTTGGCTCATCCAAAAAGAGAATTCTCGGCTGGGTGATTATCTCAGCTGCTATAGAGACTCTTTTCCGTTCGCCACCAGAGATTTTCGATATTAAAACGTCCCGACTGTCTGCCAATTCCAGGTCTTCAATTATTCTCGTCGCCATGAGGTTCTTCTCCCTGGCGGACATGCATGCATCCAGTCTCAGGGCGCACTGACATTTCGATTAAATTTTCAACTATTTTTTGGGTAATGGAGTGATCGTAGAAGGAGAAAACTTCATTTCCCGAATTTTTCCGACTTAAACTGGCGGATAGAGACCAAAACAAAATTCAAATCATCGATTTTCTACATTATTCTAGTTTCTCCAACTTTAATTGAGCCTTTAATTTTCAAAAACAAATTGACATATTTCCGTAATGATTGAAAATGAGGAATCAAGTCGGAGAAGTCAGAAATCCAATGGCAATGAATTCTTAAAATACGAGGAACCGCCTGTCAACCTGAATCACCGAAATACTACGACATCCCCGAATACCAACCCACCGGTTAAATAATTTACCTCCGAAGAAACTAAGAACAAAACAAAACAGTCATACCGAGAAGGATATGTATTCACCGGTCGTCAACATGACAGGCAGTGGATCAACCTGCGGCACGAAGCTCGCTATCTTTGACATGTCACCCTTGGATAATTCAACTCCATTGAGACGAATCGATCCCGCAACTGGTTCGGTTAATCTCGCGAGACTTGCCAGCAGAGTAGTTTTCCCAGCTCCACTACACAACAATTACTTATTAACACCGCAATCCCCGAATTCAGGTACTGCTCCTCACCTGGGGCCCATGATTGCGACCAACTGGCCAGTTTCAGTCCAACCCTTTGCATCCCTCAGCACCACCTGTCCACCTGAAAATTTTCCCGAAAAATAATCTCTCTTCCCTCCAACCTCCACTGACAGATTCTCCCACGATAGGAGTAATCGATCATTAATTCTGTCGAAGGGATTCAACCCCTGGACATCGGCCCCCAGAAATTTATCGCAATCACTCATGACAACTCTCAACACTACAAAATCCTCGGAACTCCATTTCCCTGCACATTAAAACTATCTCATATTTACGTACCTTATCAACACCTCATTCGTATTTATCGGAGCCACAGTCAACAATCAGATCTCCATAAATAATTCTGGTTTTTTAAACTAGAAAATATCGCAGGCTGAATTATTCAATTGAATTTTAATGTAATATCATTTTTTTCCCGGGTCTTACAGATTTTTTGTCAAATGTAAATGTAAAAGCCGGCGTTGACTATTTCCTTAATGAATTAATAAAGCACGGAATAAATATTGGTATTAAAGGCAGGTCGAGTAAATAAACCACAATAACAATGGAGTATAATTTAATGGCGTTTTGACTTACATAAAACAAAACAAGAATTTAATGAAGACAAAATTCAAGATACTGTTGCTAAAAATGGTTATTCAAACCGTCTCGGACTATTTCAGAATCGTCGCCTCGTGAGTCATAAAGAGTGATTACAGTGTTATATAAAAGTGTAAATACCTTAATTACGACGGAGGAGAGGAAAAAGAAATGATTGCAACGACTCACCGAGACACAAGAACAAGAAAATGGTTCTGTTACCCTAAAATTCTTAGTTATTTACAAACATTATTACATCGTTTCATTTTTTATTGAAACTCTCGTGATGTTAAATATCTTCAATAATCCTTGTATACATATATATCTTCGTAATATTCATTATTCAATTGGCTGTATAAAATTTCATCATCGAACAACAATTTAACCGCGATTTCTCGCTGAATGGAATGCAACTTTGTGGAATGACGGGAGTGGAAGTCAACTAGATTTTTTGGAAAACCGTGTAAATATTCTCTTGATCTTATCAAGAAGTTCCATTGACAAATCAATTACAGTGAAAAATTTTTTAAGCAGGATTTTTCGATTCTTTGGTTAAAAAACTGTAATGAAAAAACTTGAAAGTTAAAATTCAAGCGATTCTACAGAAAATATTTCAATAGAAAAATATTCTCTTGGGATAGATCAAAAACAGAAAGTCCGCTATTTTTATTTCACAATATTTTCTAAGGGATATTTTTGTTTCTAAAAACCGAATAGCTCCTGTAATTATCTACTACCTACAAATTCTGTAGAAAGTCTTTGCGAATTTTTTTTAACAATGAATGTGTTAAAAAATGGCACAGAGACCGCGCTGGAAGCGACATTCAGGGTAAACATGGGACTCTGTTAAAACTCCATATCGTAATTGAATTTACGTTGAAGTTAACAGGTGGGAGTGGACACAGGGGTTGAAAAATAATTAGGTAAATGGAATGGCATGGAACATAATCTCCGAGAGTCTTCTACTCTCTCCGTCTCAATAATTCTTCTTAAATAAGTTTACGTGGCAAAGAGCCATAAACGTACGTCAACTGGCTAGCATTATTGCACGTCACAGGGTAATCAATGTGTAAACACGTAATTGTAAATCGAATAGGTGATCAACGCGATGGCAGTCTTTCGCGTGGTCTCGTTGTACTCCACATTGGGCGGATCATTGAGTTTAATTGCACTTTGTCAGCAGGAGCACGATTTCTTTGAACTCGTTGGTGATTGATTTAGGGCAAAACGTTCACCATCCACTTGGTCCTGGGCGCCATTACCCTTCATTAATTGATCGTTTTGGAGTATCTGAAAGAAAAAGAAACAGACCTCTAAAATTTTCCATCAAATTTTTCATACATTTCGTTTTAATTATTTCATTCAATTGTCCATTTTTTTTTCGAACGAACGAATTATTTTTATTAATTAATCCTTCTCTTTAGAAAGGAAAGTATTGATTGGATGCGGTGAATTTTTTTTTCATCTGCACTTACTTTATTGACAAGAAAGCGAGCAGCCTCTTCGATATTAATATTCTCCTTCGCCGAGGTCTCGAACCATCCGGCGAAGCCCTTCTCCTTGCAGTAGTCATCCATTTTTCCTGGTGAATTGACTAATCCCTCTTTCTGCTGATCACATTTATTAGCGAGAAGAACACATGGAATTGGTGAGCCATCGGGAAGTTGCACTTTGGAATCGAGATCCTGTTTCCACTTGACCACAGCTTCCAGAGTTGCGCTTCTCGTAACGTCGAAGACGATAAAGGCACCAACGGCTTCTTTGTAATACACTCTCGTCATATTCCCGAATCTCTCTTGTCCTAAATCACAACATAAACTTCTTCATTCATTACTAGTCCCCTGTTGCCATCCCAGTTTATATAGAAAACATTACAGAACTTATTTATGAATAATTACATGTCCAACAAAAAAATTATATTGACATTTCCTCCTAAAATTAATAACTTTCGAGATTAATCGATATAAAAAGGAAAAGAGTTCGGAAGATCGCGGCAATTCTACTGCTACATTATTTAGTGCTCTCAAATAATTTTCCACTTTCTTCGCACCGCTTTCCACCACTTGAATAACATTCTCCAAGATATCCGTGTTACTTCCATTGTTCAAGAAAAAATGTATAATGTTTATCAAAACGGCAACAGTTTGAAAAAAAAGTGGAATGGAGTGCAGAAAAAATGGTGGAAAAACGTCTCCAGCTTGTACTTTTTACTTATCAGTATTTTATCAATCTTGTTTACAACTGACCTGCGATATCCCATAGCTGCAGCCTGATAATAGTGTGTGGATCCCAATTGAGGACTTTCAGGGCAAAATCAACGCCAATAGTCGCCCGGTAATGTTGTGAAAAGAATTGATGTACGTATCTTTTAATAATTGATGTTTTACCAGCTCCCAATTCTCCAATAACTAGAATTTTATACAAATGCTCTCTCTTCTCACCAACGCCCGCACTCGGTGCGCTATTGTGCGTCGACTGTAAAAAATTAAAAACAATTGTAAATCCGTAAATCAACGAATAACAAACCACAAACATTCACAGACATTAATCATTCAACCGAGCGTCACGTGATTCACAACAAGTGTTATCTTATCTCGTGGAGATCCAGTGAACCGCAGAATTGAGTGGAGCCCGTCAGAAGTATTATTCATCTAATTTTTCCAGGGAAAACCGCAATTATGCTCGGTACAAACAGGATTGTAACTCTCATCGTGTCAACACCCTAGCGATTTTTTAACGAAATGACTCAATCGAAGAGAACGAAAAATTAAATAACGGAAATTATATTATAATTATTAAATTATCCTGTTTTCAGGAAAGAAATTAACTTTAAAAATAATGATAATTGTATAATGATTACTCCCGGGGCAATTCAACAATTTTTTTTCCTGGAAAATGAGTAAAAATGAGAGAAATGCGTAATGCAAATGAAATCTTGTTTTTTTTTATTCAGATCGTGTGGTGAATGTTTCAGGATGATCGCTCCAATAATTTTTGGTTTAAATCCGATTATGGAAAATAACAGAAAGAAATACCGGTGCAGTGATAATTTTTTTTCCCAATATACAGACCATGCACCACTTCCAGGACTTTGGGTGAATTCTCCAGGTCGTGAGTTCTTGAAAGGTGATAGGTTGCCAAAATTTCAAGTCCATCTCCATATTGAATTGCCGAGACAATCGGAACAACCGTAAACCAAAGTTTTCTCCCGCGACTCGTATTTTTCTTTCGCCACGATAAAAATGCACTCTTCGAAATGACAATTTTCTTGAAACCCGGAGGTTCACCGCGCAAGATTGTCAGCAAGAGTGACTCGGACAATGAGACGAAACAGCACTAGTTTTCTTGATGTGCCCCCGCCAGTATGACAATACAGTCAATGATATCTCAACGCACAGTACTACAAGGGGACTTTTGGGGGGTGACTAACGGAAACTTTTGAGGGGGCGGACTCCATACCTCATTTTTCCATTTTTTTTTCTCATTTTTTTTTCTCATTTTTTTCTCATTTTTTTTGCACGCTTTTTTCAGTCTCCATGCAAAGTGTTAAGGGGAGCATGAGAAGCCACCAGTGGTAACTCGAAACTCTGGGCGAGAACCGCAAAGTGCAACTATATCGATCCGCATCATAGAATTACGTGCGAACTCGAGTGTTTCTTGGGTTTTTTTCAAGTCAAGGGATTGCCTTTCCATTCTGATAAATTTTATGGCTGTCGTGACGGCGACGATCACGTGGGGATAATAGGATTATGCGAGATGGATTTGTTTATTTATCATTATGCGATTGAGTGGCTTTCGGAGGAAATCAGAAGCTTCAGTGATTTTTTCGGCAATATTATGGAATTTTGTCGATATTGAGTGTCAGATCTCTCGATTTCACCGAATTCTCTCAATTTTCCTAGAATCGATTTTCATACTTTTTTTAAATAATCTTAGAGGAAAAACTTTCATGAAGAAAATTCCTCTCGAATACAACGAGATGATTTCCGTAAATTCTTAAATTTCAAATAGCGAAATCTCAGAAAATCCTGAAGGAATCCTCATCGGATAATTCTTTCCGCAGAATGTACCGAAAATTTTATTCAAGATTGATCAATGATGCACTATTCATTATCGCAATAATTTCAATCGAAGGAATTTCGAGGCATTGTATTTATCTCAAATTGCCCGAATCACTTCTTCACAAAAACCTCACCCCACTTTCAACGCTGAGGGTCCTAGAGGCCTCCGCGGAGGTCTCCCCGGCGAGGGCCATGCTCACAGGTTCCTCCTGATCCTCCTGGTCCTCAATTCCCTCCAGATAATCCTCGGACTCCTCGTCGAAGTCCCCGTCGACGGTCGAGTAAATATCGAAAGTCCGCACACTGATGTGTTTGGAGGGTCGCCTGCTACCGAAATTATCAGGCAAAGGATCGTCTTCACTCTTGTCCTCGGGGCTTGAGCCCTTGATGCCGACAACCGTGTCCCTGGAGTTCTCAAGGGACGGAATTCCCTCGGAGCTTGCGAAGAACTTCCGCTGGAATATCGCCCTCTTCTCCTCGAGCAGTGATAATTTCCTTCGGAGCTCCACGGGCGGCGTCACTGGGGGTGTCCTCAGGGAGGACTCAGATCCAGCTTTCACCGCTAGCTTCAGCTTCTTCGAGGCTCCTCGAATGTCTACCGAGTGGTCAGACCATTTGGACAGGGCGTAAGGCAGCGTTGACACTGCTTGACTCCCTGAGGGGTCAGGGCGAGGCTCCTTCACTGTTAAACATTTTCTTCTCAATTTTCCGGAAAACACCGCGAAATTTACTTGAAGGGTAAAACTCATTTTTGAGTCTCAGGAGAATTTGCAACATGAAGGGAAAAATTTCACTGTCAAATTTCCCTCCCACCCAATTAATCCATTTTCAATTCCAATTCCTTCCAAGAAAAAATTTATACAAATTTGAAAAATATATGAGACTCGTATTGTATATATTGTTCTCCATACTCGAGCCAGTATTTTTTCCATGCATGTTTTTCAAATATATTTAAATATTTTAATGACGAATAGTGAATAATAGTGAGTATTTGTGATTTTTTAATGATAAAAATTGAATTTTTGGGGGTTGTCCAGGGGAATTGGACTCCGTACCTGGAGTTAATGTACGATCCTGAGGAAAACTCGTCCTTATGGTGACGGAGGGTGACTTGCGCTGTACAACAGTGACAGTGCTGACTGTTTTCTCGAGTTTGTGTCGGGGTTTAGCATCGTCGGCCCGTCGTTGGTTGCCATCGGGCACCCCCTCCTCCCTATCTTGCCCCCACGTACCTGGGTTACCCCTCTCCGATGTGGGTGTCGCTACAGGAGGTCTCTTCTCCCTACCCTTCACTCTGTCCTCATCAGCACGACTCACATGTCCAGCCTTTTTACTGGACTTCACTGGACTCTCTGGGTAACCAGGTGAATCCTGGGATGACTGACTCTGGGAGCGACTGCTGTCACCTCCTTCAGGTGTCTGACGTGTCTCCTGATCGCTCGAGCCCAGACGAAATTTACTCAGACTGAGTTTGCGAACGAGGGAACCGGACTTCTTCTTCTTCATCATCCTCGTCACTGGGGGGGATGGACTTGGAGCTGGAGGCGGTGAGGATCTCTTCTCCGGTGGTGCAGACGTTCTTCTGGTTGTCTCTGCGAGAAGCCACCGTTGCAATGAGTGTTAGCGCCCTCGATATCTGACTTACTGGGGCTTCTAACGATTTTTTAAGTCGGTCGACAACCAGACGTGATTATTCCGTATAAATTCAAACAATTTTTTGACGGAAATTGACGGAATATTTAAATTTGGGAATAATTCCCGTGGAGTACCTCAGGAATTACTCACACAGGCGAATTTGATTTTTCAAATTTCATTCTAAATTACAGAATTTGCTATTTGTTTACTCATTTCATTGTTTATTTTATAAAAAATTCTATTCGCGCAGTCGAATAGAATGTAGAGAAAAATGTTCAACTTCTGGGAATATTTTTTTATTGTTTTTTTTTTTTCAAAATTCAACTTTCATTTTTCTGCGGTTTATGTGGATGCCAGTGATAAACCACAGAAAACATCTTGAAGATCTTGAATATTTCGAGAAATTTATTTGAAAAATTCAGTAATAGTAATCGTGAAATCTATTTTCTGAAAATACAAAGAATCTCCAACAGAGAAAATAGAAAACCTTTGGAGGAGTCCTCGTAAGCCTCGACATCCCCCGAATTTTTCGAGTCCACACTCTTGTCCTTCTTCTTGAAGAATCCGCTGTCCCTCCGGAAGGTGTTCTTGAGGCCGCCGAATCGTTTCTTCTTCTTCTCCTCGAGGACCCCAGCACTGGCCCCAGCCTGGACCTCCAGGCCACGAGAATCCAGACTGAATCTGGAATCAGAAGCAGATGTGCTCTTCTGCCTGCGTCTCCTGACCTCTTCAAATTCGGCCCGTGCAATCACAGTATCCGGTGAGCTTCCGCCCTCGTTCTCATCCTCTCTGTCCACCATAATTCCTGACCGATCGAAATATACGGCTTCACCTACGCCCAGAAGACCCTGAAGAGTCAGAAGACCTCCGGATTACCTAAACTCCACTATCTCAATGACTAACGAGCCTCACCTCCTTCACTTTTCCATTCCACTGCCCTCCATCCAGTCGACCACACTCAGTCACTTCTCTAATTACCAATTAATACTGATCAATAATAATTAATGATTCACCCAAAGACAGCAAGTCGTGAATTATCCACGAATTAACCAGAAAAAAAAAGGAAGCGACGAATTTATCTTGTAGACACTCAACTTGCAAGTTGTGCGAAGTGTCACCCACTAATGCTGAAAAATGTATCCTCACTAGGGCAACTGATTGCCCCACTCTACCTCATCGACCTTGGAACCACCTCCCGCACCTTAATTACCCGATTAACAGTCGAATAAGGCATTTGAATCGTTGACGACCTGGGGACTTCCGAATCTCTCGGCTCCTGCTAATTAATCGCTGTAATTCGGTGTCCACCGGATTGAATTATTCAGGGAGTGAAAATTTCCTTGCAAGCCCATTAATTCGTTAAATTCTTAGGTGATGAGGTGGTGGGGTGCCCCACCCGATTGCCTCCGGTGCATGTGTCCTTCTGTTCTGGTGAAACAGGGCACGTCGTCTACGTCTTTCCCCTTTTCATGGACATCTGATCCTCCAGTGGTGGTTTACACCGCAGCAACTCTTTCGTTTGTTGTTTTTCATTTTTTTTTTTCATTGAAAATAAATTCAATTTCCTGGCAATTCAACAGGAATTTTTTCGGATGAACAAATAAATTTTTTAAAATGAATAAAAGTCTTTTTTTTCGATATTTCATTTGGGGAATAATCAATAATGAATAATAATGAATAATAATGAATAATAATGAATAATAATGAATAATTAATTCCTAAAATTCGAAATTGTTTTTGGGGAAAAGTCTTGGGGTAGGTCAGGTGTTTTTAGTTAAACCTTTAGATAATAAAACGCGATATAACTGCTGGCCAACGGCATAATGTGGAGCATCATTGGCAAGTTCTACGCAAAAGGTGGGTAATTAGCCTCACGCCTCGCTGATAAGAGCATTCGGGTCGTGGAAAATTGTGCATAAGCCGTTTACCTCCGTGAATTCCTGCCAATTGTGACGTAATAACGAGTCGTTAATTAATCGGGAGGATGGGTCAATGGAGATGACATCGTTATCAGTTTTTTTTTCGGTACGTTTTTAATCTTAATTGGCTGGCCATTACGCGGATGTGGTAATTGCGGCGAGAAGAGGTGGGGATTGTATAGTTTATCGGTGAAGCCATTATTTAATGAGGAGACAATTGGACGATTGTTGAATTAATGCATGAAATTGTGAGTTTATCAGACGCTTTTTTTGGTACTCGTTGGAGGAGGAAAATTGCAAGAAGTACCACACGAGAGAAATTTATTTGAAAATATCGATTCGTTTCTGAAAATTTTAGAATTTCGAGAGAATTTTTTGGATTGAGGAAAATTTAATGGATGGAATGGATCGGAGGGCCTACGTGCCATTATTGAGATCGATCTCACAGGTAAGACGTCATCGAACCGAGAAAATTGATGATAGAGATTGATCGTGTGTTGATTAACGGATACGCAATCTCTGAAAACAAATTATCAATCCGAAGGATCATACGAGATTTCCATTAAAATCTCGGTGAATGTAATTTTCCTCGTGGAAGAATGAAGCTGATGAAAGGGAGATTAGAAAATTAACCAACGAAGCGGTTCCAACTACTTTTGAACTCTCGAATGGTCACAAACTCGATTGTATCGGTTAGAGTTGGTCCAGTGGAACGACAAAGCCTTTATCCTTTCAACTCAATTAAGCCGCTGATCAGCCACATCGGATCTAATTAAAAATTTCAAGTCACCGAGGGAAAAATCACCACTGGGGAGAAAGAAAGAAAATCATAGATCAGTCCCTGGGGCTGTGGTGCCATTTTAATTCTCGTATTTTTTCTTTCGTTGAAAAACTTTTTATTATCTACGAGCGGAAAATTTGTGTGATCAACGATTACCTCAGGGAAAAATTCGGAATAATTTTGGAAAAAGTCACTTTGCTCCTCCAAAAATTTCAGGTCAGGCCCTAAAGGGCCTTGAGGTCATAATTGAAAAGTCTTTTTTTTGGTTTTGTATTTTTCTCGTCTGTGATAATTTTGTTATCATTTATGGAGTGAATATAAAAAATAAACTCTTGATTGTTGGAAAAAATAATTTTCCTCTCACTAAAACTCTAGATCAGAGTCGCATAGAATTTTTTTTAACTCATTCTCCCATTTTTTCTGTCTCTGACAGTTTCATTGTCATCTCCGAAGAGATTATCTGTGCAATCACTCATAATTCTACTTCTCGACATTGAGAATTCAACCGCGAATTGAAATACAAATGAAAATTATAAAAATTCGCAACATTGTAAATAACTTTGTTATTGCGAATTGGATGACGATATTGAATTCAGGAGGGAGTTGGGTTCACGGCGAAGTCGATTTCCGGATTAGATAACGCGTCTATTTTGAGATAATATGACGACTTGAGGACTGCACTATGAGGAAGGGCATAGGTATGAGATATTACACTGTCAACGCCCTCAGGTATTCATAGGGCATCTCCTCGCAAATCCCTCGTGAGGGTTTAAATATTTATACGTCTGGACCTACTGAGGCCCTTCATCACCTTCGGAAAAATTAATGCTATTGTTTCTTTCTCGTCAGACTGCCTTAAGTTGACGTCAACCTGAATGAAACTGTAATAAACCCTACGATTAAAAATCCATACAATGCAAGATTAATAATAAATGAAGGAAACCAATTATTATTTAAAAATTGCATTTTTTAATTGACTTTCGTTCGATTGATTTCACTTGAATATTTCAGTGGCAATGTTCTGATTTTTTGATATTTTTTTTGTCAGTGTTGAATACCTTTTTCCGTGTGATCTCCTGTTTGATATTTTCACTGAAGTTCATGTTAAGATCTGTGTAAAGATTATTATTGTTTAATAATTGAGGTGGTGGCTCCATCGGGGGTGGATTGGCCTTTTTTTTATGCCTCAATCTCCTGTCAGTCCTATCCTGTCGTGTCCTTAACACTAGGATCACATTTCTGTTGAGATCCAGCATTTTCCTACAATTTCACTTCACTATTTTCCGATTTTCTCAATTTAGAGATAAATTTCACTATTGGAAATCGACATGCACTATTGATCGATTTGCGACGCAAATGAATTTGTGGTGACAGAACAAGTGGCCAGAATGGGCCCAAGAGGGCAAAGTCTCCGCATTTATTGGTCCAGCGTTATCATCTTCAGTTTGTTATCACTCCCGATGATGTGCGTAAAAAAGGTAGGCGCCACATGTATTTTTTTTTTTTTTAATTATTTTCATTTCCACATGGAGCTGCCGATTTGATTTATTAGACTGTCTCCGCGCGTGTACTTGACCACGTGCTTCGTGGATAATTGTAATTGTTTTTCTGACAATACACCTATCACTGTAGCAATTTTTCAGAGGAGCCGCAAATTATTTTGTTTTTTTTTTTTGCACCGAAAAACGAAATTCAGTGATCAACAAATAAAAATGCATTTGGTAAATTTGGTAATTTTGGTAATTCTGGTAATTTGCTGAGGGGAAGGTGTTAGGTAATTATTTCGGGCTCGGTGAAATCATGCGCTGAGCGGATGACTTCAGAATTAAAGTAATCAGGGAGAGAGTCCTGGGGAAACTGGACCCCTGCAATATCGAGATGCCTGAGGGATGAAGGACGACGGGAATATCGATTTCGGAAAGTTTATATCGCGGTAATGAACAACATTGGACAACAAAACCGCAACCGTCGATATGATGCAATTAAAACCGAATCTAGTCTCATTAATGATGGATAAATCCAATGAAAATTTTGTTCCCGTGGGTTATTGAGTTTGAATTCTCGATTGCGGAATTCCTTGGAATTCTAATATGATAAAAATTTGTGAGAGAGCAAAACTCGAATAAACGTTTTAACCCCGCAAAACCTTGACCCGTGCGTTCTCTCGAATTAGCTCTCTTTTTTCAAAATGTTCATCTCTAGCATTTTATCAACTGCCAATTGACGATAGCCGTCACGAGCCCGTGATAAGACCTCTTTCACGCGGAGAGAAATTGTGAGAAAAAGTCTAACGCGTGCAGTGACAAGTGTGCAGGAAAATTTTTTAATAATAATTTTCATCCGGCATTTGTGATTAAGATCGAATTTTTATGAACAAATTGATATTTTATTGATATTTTTTCTTTTAGGGAATTTCTAGGGCAAGAGTGAATTTTGTTAGAGATTCTTCTAATTGAATTGATTAGAATTTATCTCGATTTTTTCTCTCCCTTCCCCGCTGATCAATTTAATCATCAACTTTCAGAACGTGAGTATTATCGCCTCGAGGATAAGACGAAGACGCGATAGCCGACGGGAGTAGACGAAAAGTCAGTCCAGGTCGAATGGAGATAAGGAATTCGACGGAGTTCCGACACGAAATGGAAGTGTTTCCGTAACTGGAGAGGTGCTATCTCAATTTCTATTTCGTTTTCGTTTTCATTCCAATCTAGTGTACACAGATGATATCACATACTCTGTATAATTTCAGGGGTCGCAGAGAAGATTCAGAAGAGACATTCAATTCAATTTGGGGAGAAGTTCAATATATATGAATCCAAAGTAAATGAATAGAAAAAAATAAAATGGATATTAGCTAATCTCAATGTTCATAACTTTCCTTTGAAAAATAAAATAAAAATACAGCTTTACTTCTTTTGATTTTCTCATAAAATTATGATTTTTCAGTAACAGATTTATCCGAATTTTCATTTCAGAAAAAATTTTAGTAGAGCTCATACCATTTGCATCACCATGACGAATTATCGGTCTGAGCAGAGTAATCAATCCTCTCCAGTGCAATTGAAACGTTGACGACTTTATCACTGACGATGACACGAACAAACTGATGTCTTTCAATATTCATAGGTGTACCCGGACAACAGGTGGTCGCCGATCCGAATCGAACTGATCCCCGACCACTTGAGATTTATCGAGCATACACCTCCACCGGGACCGTATCACACTCCACAAAGTTATTAATATTTTCCCGAGAGAAATTCCATAGTAATACCCCGAGTACTTCAAAATAATTGGGTGTTCCCGATAATTCGTAAAACAAGCAAGAGTACCGAATTTTGCAGATTCAAAAAATCCCCAGCGCCAGGCGCCAAATAATAATCGAATTCAATTAATTCATGTCTTCAATTCTCCGCGGAAAATTTATATAGAATTTATTTGTTATTGATTCTAAAGTCTATTTCTTGATATCTAATTTCAAACTTATTTAATAAATTGGAATTGATTTTTCTCCGTGTCGTTTTTCGATTTGGGAATATTATTCTCCGGGGCTCAACCGGACGTCATCTTCGGGAGACATTCGGATTACCTGGGGATTGGATTAAGCGTCTTATTTCAGTCAATGTTTGACGTGGCGTGTATTTTTATGGGTATAAAAAGAAGTCAGAGAGAAAATTATAGAAACTGGGATGACACAATGTAAAAATTACGTCTCAGTTCATGAAAAATTCTGAACCGAGAGGAAGAGCCTCGGGGAGATTCAAAAAATGGTGTAATAGTTTTCAAAAAGTTCTAAAAATCGGGCTTACAATATTCTCCCGGGGATCTATAGTGAAGGTGAAATTTTTTGAGGGAAAATTCGCTTGCTCAAGACCTCACCTCAATACCCGTCACATATCGTGATGAAATAAAAAATAATTCTACGCGTCAATAAACCACAGGCGATATTCGATCTCCGTAAGTGTCCTCGGGATTATCATATCCTTGTAACAACCGATCAATAGAAAAATTTATTTCAACGCAGAGACATATCGGCGAGTGACAAGGTGACAGCCAGTGGTTAAATCGTGCAGTTTTCGTTTTCAACGTCAATCACAACCAGAAATGATAAAGCCCCGAAGATACGCCATTTTTAAAGATCTGATCAATCAATCACGGAATTAATTGTACGCTACATACTTTTCCACGGCAGAAGCGGAAAATAAAATTCTCACAACTGTAAAAACAAATGTCAGAATTTCACACTATTTTTATTTTTATTTGCATCAGACATTTTTCAGACACCCGAGAACGTCTGGATTAAATGAAATCTTTTATAATATTATGTTAACAAATTGAACAATTGTCTGGGTTTTAGGTGTAACGGAGAATGTGGTTCGTCTGGTATGCGGGGAAATTTTCTTTTCATTTTTAAAAAATGAAAGAAAAATCGTGGGAAGTTCAGATATCTGTGGCACGATTTTGTATGACAGTTCCTGATAAAAGTTTTAACAAGTTTGTGGTGGTCAGATAAATAATGATGCCAGGTAGAGATGGAAGCCCTCGAGCAGAAATACATAACTATAATTATCGTGAGGATTAGGTCGATTGCGAAGCGGCAAGTGAGAGTGAGTGAAATGACATTTTCTGAACTGCCACTGTAATTTTTAGTGACAAAATTTTCCGATATGTTTTTAAAATTTTCATCTGCGTTTTTCCATAATTTTCAAATATCCCAGATTTAAATAAGTCACTTCCCTGTGTACAAAGAAAATGGGAACTTTTTCCCTCTTCACCTTTCTTGCATGTTAATTAGTTATGAAATTAAAATTGATTGCAATAACATTTTTCCCGTGGGAAACACCGACTTTCTTGTCTGCAACGCGTAGAAACGGAAACAGTGTTCCTAATTTGGGAGAGAATTTCTTCTCGGAAATTTGAAAAAGTCAAAACGTGTGGATTCAATTCGTGTGCATGAACGCGGAATAATCAGTTTCGCAATTGAACTTCGTAACATACTGAACTCAAAAAAAACAATCAATGTGAGACATAATCGTTGACATAATTCAACGATGGCTTCATAAAAACGCTCAGAATTATGCATCACATAAAAAATTGCATAATGAGAAAACCACGGAATTGCAAATTGCGCGATTTAAAATGTTTCAACGGCAGTCACTCGGAAACTTCTCGAGTAAAACAGCTCTGATTGGTCAGTTCAGTGTGAATTTATTGACAAATCCAATATAATTTGTTAATAAATATTGACATGTCCCTAAAAAAATTAATTGAATTAAAAATTCTCATTCGGTCATCGAAAAACAAGAAATTCCACGAATTTCTCGTGAATATCGAAATCTCCCGACTCTGGCTCTCGAAAAATCTAGTCACCAGTTTCCGATATTTCAATTAATCGATTGCTGTATTATTGTCTACAAACCAATGCTTCTGCAGTTAGCAGATACACCTGTAATCAGATTAAATCAGCCTGGATTAGATAAAAAAAAAGCGCGTAATAAGGTCTATCGGCTGATCAACGACGTAAAATCCGAAATTTTCTGAGGCTCCAGAATTTTCAAAACACGCAATCGATTCGAACCACATCCCCCGTACTTTCCAAATTTTTAAAATAAAAAATGAAATCAAAACTCACTGAAACGGGGTCCTCCCCGGGCCCACTCCCCCCAAAAAAATGGTACCAAAAAATCCAGTGAGTTTCCACGTCGCGAAAATTCCTCAAACCAATAGCAAACCGTTAAAAATAATTAGCGAATGCAAATGCCTTTCAAAAACATCCCGCCAAACATTCCGGTGCATTCACGCACGAGATAATCCAACAAAAAACTCATTGCACCCTCAAAATAACATAAACTCACCATTTATTGTTGATCGCCACGTCGGGGGTGGTCGTTGATAATAAAAATAAATAAAATGGAGTGTAAAAAAAAATTTTTAAAGGACGTATTCCAAATTTTTACCGCAACTGTGAGAAGTCCCCACTGTATTGTTCCTCACCACAGCTGAGGCATTCCAGCCATCTTGCACGTACCTCAAATTGTACGATACAGTGCGCCGGCGTTTCGTGGCGTCCCTGTCGGTAATTACGTAAGGTTTACTTGGGATTTGTATGTACAACTTTCTCTCCTCCTCGGTTACCTCGAATCCCTCGAATCTATTCCATTCCTCCAACGCTACTCGTCACTATTCGATAGGAGATATCGGCTGGGGCATCCAATCGAACTTGAATTCATTTTCCCGGGCGACGAACGGGGGCACCACCTCCTGGGGGCCTCGTTTCAACACGGCCGCAAAGTAATATTTATTTATACCAATAAATGTCAGTGCGGTTAGAGACTATTAAAAAAATTATGCGTTTTTCAATGCCAATATTTATGTAGATTTATTCGTGTCAAGTACATTTACTGGAATTACTTGGAAGTGAATTATTTTACCATTTTACCCTACCCCCTTTTGAAAAAAATAAGCTCATCATTTTTTGGTGACAAGTAGATTTGAAGAGGATGAGGTTCATTCGATCTTGTCAAAGATTTATTCATTGATAGAGAAAAAATTACTTCTACTGAGTAAATTGACTCACCTTTCATCTTCCACTGGTATAAATTTTTGGAATTCTATGGGAATTTTTAAAAATATTCCCGAACCGAATGCAATCATGTAAATATTTGTTAACAATTCATTTATTAACTATTAACTAGACTATATTACCCGATGAACATCTGGAAAGACCGAATTGACCGCAGCCTTCAGCCAAGTCTAATATTAAATTCGTAAATTCATAATTGTACAAAATGAAAAGCGTATGTGCAATAATAAATTTATGTAGTGACTTTCCGTCGTTTTTAAACTCAATGTAAATCACGTTTAAGGAGGTAAATTATATTCTGAGGTTTGTGGCATAGAAAATTCGTTTAGAATATAAATCAATTGTTCGTCAAGTGCACACAGACATACGGTGATATAATAAAGAGAGCGGAATTTTTTTTCCTCAACGATTTTTCATTCGCAGTGCTTTATTATTTATGCCCACATACTGCTTATAAAACTAGAATTGGAAAATATGTTTGGTCGATATTTTTTACGACTCTGGCCGTTCACTGACTCTCGAGTTTAAGTGACATTTAATATTTTTTTTTAATCTTTCATTCATTCATTTTTCATTTCATTTTTATTTAGAGAAATGATTGCTGTAGAATAATATCTTATGTAGACGTAATTTAGAGATTCAATCGGGGATATCACGGGACGTTTTATTTCCGGAAGTAGTCGAGGACTGGAATCAGACGAGTTATGGATTTCACTGAACTTTCAAACGAGTTACCCTGGGGTGAACAATCGTGAAAGCCCCAGAGGTCAACCTCGAAGGTGAAGGGAAAGATGGAAAGTGAGAGTCGCGAGAGTCGAGCATTTCTGTTCCAATTTTTTTTTTGTTAAGTGCCTCCGCGGTACTTTCATTTCTACATACACAGAAAAAAAAAGAAAGAAATCATTTCCAAGGATTTGCTCGCATTTTTCATTATTTCCTTGCAATTTTCAAATAAATTTTCATTTTCCATTAAAAAATAAATAGACAAAAGTACTCATTTTCGAAATGAATGATTATTCCTCTGGAGAAAATCTGAAATACAATTTTTAAAAATAAAACATTATTTATTTTTGATTCAAAATCCAGAAATATATTTCGCAATGATGACCATAAATAAATGATAACTATAAAATGATTTTCCATGGATGATTAAAAATGACGAATCATCCGAGAAATAATAATTTTCATAAAATCCCCTCCACCCTCTGAATAAATCTAAAAATGATTGCAATCTCCAAAACCCGCGGAAATCTCACATATCACTTCTATAATTACCCCCTGAAGCCCTTGTATTCCCCTCGATGACACATCCGTTAAATAAAACTCCTCCAAAAATACAAAACTCCCTCTCCGCCCCGGGGGGCAACTGCTTTACCAACGGCGGAAAGAATAGTTTTAAAAAAATCACCAACTCCCCCAGTAAAATCGGCGTGCGCATCGAGATATCCTGGAGCACCAAGCGGTCCACAAACATTGACCCAGTGTTGGGCGATCGTCTCCGAGGCCCCACGGTTTATCAAGTTGGTTGAAAAAAATGGCGGATGTCGACTTGAACATCGACAGCTTGATACAGAGATTGCTCGAAGGTACGTAAATTCCATAACAATTGTTGTGCATACAAACCAGTGTCATCAATGTCTCGTCATTAATAACCGTTCGTATCACGCAAAAGCATCAAACCAGTCAAACCATCAACAATTAAACCCAACAATCAAGTTAATCAAGTGCCTGTGGAGTGTCTCACCGCCACTCTATTTTATCCCCCAATTAATAAAAATCCCTGATGAGTCACTGGTAAGAGTGACAAAAGCCCACTAATCACCCATTGATTACAATTACACCTGATTTCACCCATTCGGGCATTGACACCTCACTCCTACCTGGATATCCACCTCAAATACTTCATCATCACCGGAGGACAAGGTGCCAATTTCTTCTCACATCATTTCTGTAGATAAACGCCATAATTCCCGACATTATTCGAGATAAAGTCGACTCATTTTGATTGAGGAGCGATGAAAAAAAAAACAATGTCTGTTTCTTTCTACCATGCCTTCTTATCGGAATAATTCTGCGGTAAAGTATATCACTCACAGAATAATGATCAGGTCCAGAAGAAGGGCAGGCTAGCTGATATATTTCTCTCAGAGTTTGCTGGTAAAATCCTTGGGAACAATCGTGTTCTGTAGTTGTTTTATTTTTTATTTTTCACATTTTCCTTTTTGTAAGTTGTTTGAAGTGTGGGCATGCTTTCAGTGTTTTGTTGTTGTGGTTTTATTATTAGGGTGAAATACACGTATTCAGGCGAATCGCAACAATGTTGGGCAGAAAAGTTATTCCTAAACAAATCAATATTTTAGTATTTATCATTTTATTACCATTGAAATACAAAATACTTTAATATTTACTAACATGATATTTTTATTACCACGAGTTAGTAAAAAATATTTGTAAATAATAACTGAATTCAATGATTTATAAAGAATTAAAAAATATCAGAGTATTGCATTCAATATTTGAATGGGCATTTGAATGAAAAGTATTTTGTTTTGCCCATCGTTGATTCACACTGATCTGTTTTTTATTTTACATAAAGCTGAGTATTTTGCTAGAGTGCAATTGCGTGCGGAAGTGAAACGTAATGGATGATATTCGGTGATGGAGATTATCTTGGCTTCAAAGGGGTGTGAATAATCCGTTCGGTTTTGCTATTCTCTGTTACGTTTCACCGATCCAGTATTGAATTTGACACCCCTCCTGAAACCAAAGGAAACTAGTTACTTTGATAATTATAAATACATGACACGGTAATAATTAGAGACAATGACCCTTTACCTTCGTCAAGGACTCAGTAATAACGGACGACCCAGTATCGACTCTGCATTTACTTTTTCCCTTTTTTTTTCTTTTTTTTTTATCCAATAACTACCGTGAAATGCATTAAACTGCATGGCTGAGTTCTTCACGGTCGTGGCTATAAATAAACTTGAAAATAATAACGATGGAGGGAATCGATGATATTGGGCATCGAGGGTTTTCAACTAAATAGATTGATATCCATTCGAGAGTCCAGAGAAACCCTTCATTAAAGGAGGTTACTGTGAATTTTAAAAGTCGCGGGCTATTCAAGTAAGATCTCTCATACGTTGAAGATTTTATTTTGAATTTTATTTTAAGAATTAAAGGCCTCGAGCAATTTGAAAAATTGAATACCCCTGCGAGGCAAACGAGCGATAAAAAAATATCTTCCGCTATTTATTTGTCTTTATACATTAACAACCCGCGACTTTTAACACTCGTGAAAGTTTGCATTTAATGAGAAACGCTAGACTGATAGTCCGGGTTTTGTAGAATTTTTCTCTTCTCGAGTACAAAATTTTCTATTCTCAGCGAGGAATATCTTTCTGACGCAGTTCGAGGATGTCGTCCAGGAAAATCGGTTATCATGACGGAGGCTGAGGTGCGTGGCTTGTGCCTGAAGAGCCGTGAGATATTTTTGCAACAGCCAATACTTTTGGAATTGGAAGCACCACTCAAAATATGCGGCGACATACATGGCCAATACACGGATTTACTTCGGCTATTTGAGTACGGTGGATTTCCCCCCGAGTCGAATTATTTGTTCCTCGGGGACTACGTGGACAGGGGTAAACAGTCTTTGGAGACTATTTGTCTCCTCCTTGCGTACAAGATTAAATACCCCGAGAATTTTTTTCTACTGAGGGGTAATCACGAATGCGCCAGTATCAACAGGATATACGGTTTTTATGACGAGTGCAAACGCAGGTACAATATCAAATTATGGAAGACGTTTACTGATTGCTTCAATTGTCTACCGATCGCTGCTATCATCGATGAGAAAATATTCTGTTGCCATGGAGGATTGAGTCCTGATCTGCAGGTAAATAGATCACCATTGGCTGATTGAAGATTATTTGAAATACCCTGAACTTTTCGTTAATCAGTCGTGGGGTTTTAGGGAATGGAACAAATCAGACGGATCATGAGACCGACTGATGTTCCGGACACTGGACTACTCTGTGATCTCCTTTGGTCTGATCCAGACAAAGATGTTCAGGTACTGGAGCTTTTCCAGCATTTTTTTTTCTCTTCCGTCTATTTTCTAGGATTTATTTCACCTACTTGCTGATTTATAATTTTTTTATTTGATATTCTATGATTTTAGGGCTGGGGAGAGAACGACCGAGGTGTATCCTTCACCTTCGGCCCAGACGTAGTCTCAAAATTCCTAAACCGTCACGATATGGATCTGATATGCAGAGCCCACCAGGTTGTCGAGGATGGGTACGAATTTTTCGCAAAACGCCAACTGGTCACGCTATTCTCCGCCCCGAATTACTGCGGTGAATTCGACAATGCTGGCGGCATGATGAGCGTCGATGAGAATCTCATGTGTAGCTTCCAGGTACCTTGAACACGTTTTTACGTCTAAAAACAACTCGTGAGTACTTCCTTCGTGGTCTATGTTTAAAATTCTATATTTGAATTGGTTAGATTTTGAAACCATCCGAGAAAAAAGCTAAATATCAGTACGGTGGGATGATAGCGGCACAGACTGGAAGGCCATCAACACCCCAGAAGAATCCGACCAAAAAGAGCAAAAAATGATCGTCATATCCAGCTGATCCTGCATAGCAGTCAACACTCATGTCATTCTAGGTGAGAGATCTTCACTCGAGTGGTGAAAATAACGAGTTGAACGTGACTTTTCTTCAAAGAATATTTTTTCACGCTAAACAATCATCTGACGTTTTATATTCAAACAGATGAGTGTTGAGTCCAAGTATCTTTTTATTATTTATATCCACAGGCGAAAACTTTTAAAAATACTATTTTTACAATGAGTAATTTCCGGGTTTGTTTTTCATGATGACTTTTAAAATTCAGAGTCAAAGGAGGTGAAGTGGAGAATGCCAATAGAAAATTGATATTCAACTTAGAAAAATCTTTCAATTATTTATAATCGTTTAGCCAACACGCACTGAGAAATGATATTTCCGATAATTAGCCTTTACACGCCACCTTGTGACATTCATCAAACAATCCTCAAACATAATCTATCTCCTGTGTTTCAGTTGTGGGACGTCGTATTATCCAATTGAGCCCATAACGCCACAGTCGAACGTATACAAGTACCTCTTCCTCGATTCGCAACGTTTAAATCGTTTTTAAAGAACCTAAATGAGCAAAAAAATTAACAATTGGTGGAGAGAGATATGAGTGATGACAGGGTTTTGAAGATACTGAAAGGAGAAATATTGAAAATACGATATGATCATTCTTCCTGTTAATTATTGACACATGATTATTCTATTATTTTTCCATGAATTAACTGTTGAATTCTTATCAGAGCTTCTGTTTATTTCGTGCATTAATTACTAAAATTCGTACTTCCAGAATTTAGAAGTGGGGGGTGGCACACCTCTAACGTGCATTTCGTAAATGTACTTTATTTATTGCTTATGGATCACCCGTCGTCGTTGATTGAGAATTCGCTTGTCGGCTTGTTTATCTATTAAATCCAATTTTTTATATGAAATTTTGTTGTGAGAGTAGCAGGGTAGACTTTAATGCAATAATTTTCCTTATTATTTAATTGTCGTTTTCTTGGTGTTTACCCAGGCATTTAATTTCTCGCTTACTCAGCGGCATCGCAGGTTGTTCACGCACGCATTTGTTTTCTTTTTTATTTCGATCTTACTATATATCCGTCTCTTCTTGAGTCACTTCCTCAGAAATGAAACGCCGACTTGTGAGTGTGAGAATGACTAACTGTGAATTCTGTGAGTGCGCGAGGGTGAATGATTAGATTTTGTGGAGAGATAAATAATGATGAACAGTATTTTTTATGGCGATGCCTCTGTATAGATAATTATAAGTTTTCCGGAGATTTATTCTGGGAGGAGACGATTATTGGGGAGTTTGGGGTTGCTCAGTGGAAATTGTTGGGGAACCAGTGGACAGGAGACGAGTGAACGAATCTTCGATTAATTATTTCGTCAAGGGGAGACTACAGTGAGTTGTTAAATATTCTCAAACTCTTAAATACTCCGAGTTTTACGATTTTTAAGTTACAAATGCATTCTTTCATGATAACAATTACATTCAACATGGAAAATTGCACTACTTATGTAAACACATCGCCGCAAAAAATGAAGCTATGAAATATTTATCGTTTATATTATATGAGTTTCCATTTGGATTAATAAATTGTACATCCGAAATTTTTGAAGAATCATTTATTTTTGCTGATTTACATTAATAGAGCAATTTTTTAGATTAAAAAAACGGAAGATCACGGTATCTTTCTTAGGTTCAGAGATATTACCGATCCATGTTGTTGGAGTCTCCTGTGATGACTTAACAATTGATTTCGTTCGATTCGATTGTTTTCAATAGTAAGAAATTCACCAGGTTGTGTCATAAGATCAAATGGTTCGCCTTAGGTGGGCATTGCAATATTCTCGTGTCCTTTCATTGCAATTCGAGGTAAAAATCGAAATTAAGAAAAATACAAAAGTAAAATAATATTACTGATATAATGATTAGTATACCGAGCGGAAGATGTAAAATTACATGGGATAACTATCATAACTGTACAAATATTATTTTTGGTTGATCTGTAGAATCGTGGAGACAGAATTTCCTCCGGATTTAGTCTTACCTTTCCACTTGAAAATTGGTAATTAGAATTCCTGAATTTAGGATTATTCGTAGATAAAACGAGAGGATTTTGTTGACGACGGCATAAGAGACTGCCTGTTGTGCACTTTATTGATTGAATAGTACCTATTAATATTTCACTTATATTATATTGTTCACGTAACTATCATTTACGTCGAGATGATTATTTTGCGGTTGTTCAACATAACGTAGTGAGTAAAAAGAGTCTATAAAACGACGATGAAGATAAAAGAATAATGCAAATAAGAGAAACACCTCAAGTTGTAAACTTTCAGATAATAAATATCCCTATTGTTGTAAAAATATTGTGAAGTCAGTTAATTTTCCAATTGTTCACTCCGTACCAGCACGACAAAAAAAGTTGAGCATTACCTAAAGGGCATGAATAATTTAAATAATTATTCAAATATACGAGGTGGAGGCGCCGCCATTTCAACTTCTTGCAATCGCAGCAAAATGGCGCGCTTTTCTACATTTCCATGATTTTCTGAATTATGGAGGACTTGTCAAAGGAAAATATAAAAAAAGGGAGAATAAACATTGACCTATGCCAATCAGCATAAATTAAAAAGAAATTGATCCCTTCGTCAGAGAGAGCACCCAATTGAGCTTTTTACATCGTGAAAGTCATGATGTAGATTTATTTCAATGATAACGGGGTACAATGATAACAATCACGTAGAAACGAATTTTAATTTAACAAAAAAAGGGACAACGCATGAATTTTTATAACAGTTAAGGATCAATTAATTGATATGGGCGAGCTATGGTCGGAGAAGGCCAGCTACTCTGCTCAGCCCAGGCAGTTCCCCACGAGTCTTTTCGTCTTCCCGAAAATAATTCCAATATTCATATTTTTCTCATTCATTTATTTTGACAATTTTTTCCATCTCTTCGTTGGTGCGCGTCCTACTTCCGCAGGGGGTGGCGCGATATCATCTAATATTTGTGAGCTGAAATAAATTGAAACAGAATAATTATTCAATGTATTGATCACTAAGGAAAAAAAAATGGAATCACATTTAACGATTCGAGCATAAAACCATTCGTGGAATTGGGGTACACTGCGCCACTCTATCTGGATAGATATTTGATTTTCAAAAAGTATATCATGAATTATCAATGCGCGTATTAATCTACCAACTCCGATAAATTAATATTCATCGGAATCAAAATCCATTTCAAACCGTGATCGATTACTTTAATCAGCGCAAATTGATAATATACGATTGAAACCAAAATGATAGTTGCACTAAAGAGAAACTATTTCGACAATAAATTTTTTATAAAAAAAAACAATATGTGGAAATTTTTCTAAAGTAACTTCATGCTGGGAAATAATTGAACGGCGACACGACAGTAGTCCTCGTAATATGGAGAGGTTTAATTTCACTTGCTCTCATCAGGGAACAATTATGGAAAATCGAAGCGGTAAGCGAAGCGTCTACGCAACAACTCGTCCGTTTCTCATCTCCACTACGCGCTTTATCAAAAAATACTGAATAAATAAAATCAGCAAGTGCCTGTAAAGATTCCTTACAAACTGCACATTTAAAGGATTTGTCATTCGATTTATCAAAATCAATAGAGAACGAACATAATTAAAAATAAACGGAACTTAAGTACTGGGCTTACTTGACACAACTGGCACGTATGTCTAATGCCTATATGTAATGTATCCTTTCTCGCGTCGTATTACCGGCAAACACCGTCATTATGGGTTAATGGAACGTAAGTGCTAGTAGAAAAAACGGTGGTAATAATCTGCCACAATTGGTGGTATTTTTTTTCTTGTCAATCGTCACTTAAAGGGTGTAAACAGTTTTGTTTCTTTGAGGGGAACAAATTGCACTCTACTTTTTATTCATCCGGCTTGATCCACGAGGGAGGAACTCACGGAGAGAAATCCATTAGAAATATTTCAGTACTGTTTCTATATTACTGAAGGATTTTTTCTTGAGAAAAAATATCGGCACTCGAGAAAATTTACAGTGTCAGGAAAAATTAAAATTTCTGGAAATCATTTCTCTCCGTGTGGTTTTTCGAGGGTATCGGCTTTATTCATTAAGAATCATCATGAAATTATCAAATAATTACGAATTATATGAATGGATTCTTGAATATTTTTATAATTGAAGTTGCAGTGAATTTTCGTAAGTAAAATTCAGTGTAACTTTATTTAAAATTACTGCACGACAAAAAAAGGATTCTCCATTCCTAAATTATTAATTTGAAGGGTTTTTATTTCTCATGAGTGTATAAAGATGATTCTCAGATGAATAAATTCGGTTTACCCAAAAAAATCAGTCTTCCAATCGGTGAATTCATGATTACTCATTAATTATTGACACAATTATCAGGGGTAAAAGGGGATTTATATAAACTTGATGAATATCAAGAATAATTGCTCACGTTTGTTCAATAATATACCATGCTCACTATTGTACCAAGGGCTGGTAAAGTGATATCTTGGAACGGGCTGCGAATAGTAATAGTATTTTTGTCCTGAAACATTTGTTACCTCTTGAAAATTCACATTCTACATAAAAAACCTGACATACAGCATATAAATGTGCGGTATATTGTTCTTTGGCAGACAATTCACTCTACAATAGCGTAATTCTGAGGAAAATGGAAACTTCATGCTCGCGACGTAAAAACCATGGGCAGTAAAAATTTCAACGTAAAAATCATGAAAATAATCGAGGCTTGAAATAATCGTGCTTTAGGTCATTAAATCGTGATACCGCGAATTAAAATCCTGATGGGCCCCACGGGGTTACAATAATGCGAGGAAACCCGCCTGGTTTTCTGGAAAAACAAACGACATTTTATTCAGGATATCAGTGGGAATGATAAGAATAACGCGATTATCCGCTTATTGGGGGATGGGAGGGGGCGATCAGTTACCATTTGTAGAACTGCTCGATGAAAGAACCTGAGGTGCGTTCAAAAATACAGTATAATATGAATTTTAAAAGCGTCATTGCGAGAAAATTCAATGAAGTTAGAATGGAATTCAAATAATCCAGCATTTTTAATTGCAAAATTTATCAATTGGCGGAAGAATTGACTGGTGAACACTCCACACTCATGAGTAAAATGGGATGGACTCCATTAACCGTAATTAATCCGGGTTTACCGCATTAATTACGATAACTCCGGGTTTCACCAAATAATTCTCTATTTTAAATCGCAATTAGAAATATTGGACACACGCGTGACAAAATTCATCGCAAAACCTCACGCTTTCTGTAAGAAATTCTATTTTTTTTTAATGGAATTTTTTACTTCTTTCATGTTTAAAGACTTTAGAAGAACTTGAAATAAAGTAAAAAAAAATGAGAATGTATTTCTTGGAGAAAATGGAGGTTTTTCAATGAATTTATAAGTACGTGTAAATCCGAACGGAATACTGAGTGTGAATAGTCCTGATTGCTTTATGTGTCTGCCTGAACATACCGAAGGGCCTGAGGGGATGTCTGCTCCACAGGTAATTACGTTTAATGGGGCTGAGGTAGCTGTCCCTGAGATAGAAAGGGCTGGTGCTCCATTGAGCGTAGCTTGGGATATATGGTGCATAACATGGATACCACCATGGATCTCTAGTGAAGGCGCTGACCGGTGCCGATGGCGATGGCTCCAGCATATCGAAGAACGTCTTTCTCGGTAGTCTTGATGGATACGTGTCGAAAAAGTCGTCCAGTAGTTTTCCTAAATGATTTTTTTCAATCACGTGAGAAGTTTATTATCGTTTCAACCACTTTTGCCGAAGCATGCGAATATTTATCGTTGCCACATTTTTACTTTCCTTGGAGCAGCAGCAGGTCTTATTTTTCTTTTTTTAATTTCTCCACGGAGAGAAAATCAACCCTCAAGCTGACAACATCGGTTTTTCCCGATTTTACGTGATTCTAGGAGTTTATATAGAATTTATTTGAATAGGTCTATTGAATTTTTCAATTTTTCTCACTGCTGTCTGTCGTTTTGAGAAATTGAAATTGCAAAGTCGTGGTTCGCTCTGCAAAAAAGGGGCTGAGGAGTGGTTAACTTTTTTTTCGTGGAGTGGCCGAGGTTTAGGATTTACTCCGATTGATTTTGGGGGATATTGTCAAGTTGAGGAAATTATTCTCTCCATGATGCTTCATTGCTGGTTTTTTTTTTTTTTTGCTTGAGTACCAACCGTGTATATCGAACAGCGGTTTCGTGGAGAGGGCGGGACGCTTGTGACGAGCTAATAGGGGTGATGGAGATGGATACAATCTGTCGATGTCGGCCAGTCGGTCCAAATGATCATTCCACGCTTTATCGGCATCGTATGGTTTCGCTGCGCATTCCAACCCAAGGGGATTATATAAAGAAACATACAAAACATACATAATGTCAGCAATCAATTCTCAATTACTTCCGTCACTTGTTATTAATTTTTTATTCTCTCGTGACGTTCGCCATTGCCTTCCGCCCTCGCTCGTTGACAGATTATCTGGGATTTCCTCAACGATTTTTAGGTTTTTCATTCAACCAAGAAGTGGAGAAAATAAAACATGCCAACCCCCGGAAAAGACAGAAATCACTGGGTCAATTTTGGGATTGGGAACCGCCGGGTCCAAGTCATTCAATGTTAGTGATTCACTGAGTCAGCATTCAGAAATTCCAGACAAATATGTGGAGAAAATTTTTTACATTGACCAACTGGTGGGAAATTTTTCCTCAAATTTTCCGGGTTTCTTGAGGAATTACGGGGAATTTTTCCATTTGAATTTCATCATTTCAGTTCAATTATTCCATTAAAATTCATCGAATCTGAAAATATCAGTAAAATTCAGCTCAATATGCTATTAAAAAACAATTAGAAAAATTTCGCAAAACCGTCATTGAACTGCCCATATGAATTTCCAGCTTTTTCGAAGTTTGGCGATCACGAGATGTTTGCGTAAATTTCATATATTCAATCAAAGTTATAACAATTATGGGGCACCAATGGCATGCCATCGTTACTTCCATCGAGGGAATAATTGATTCATTAAATCTACAGTAACAACGTTCGCACGCACGCACTCGTACAGTAATAATCGAGCGATTGATCAATAGAAATCAAAAAAATAAAATGAATTCCAAATAAATTTCCAAGTGGATCTCATCATTCTGTCGCTGACCTGAAGAATAATATGGGAAAATTTCCGAGGCCTCAGGCCCTCAGTCGATTTCTCAAGACTTTAATCTTCAGCAACGATCCGTAAAGATTATTCTCCCTATTCTTCCACTTTCTTATGAACTGCTGCTGCCTGAGATCACTCAAGTCA